ATAGATTGGACATCCGCAAAAACTACTTCACGGTTAGGGCGGCTAGGAGCTGGAACCAACTTCCAAGGGAAGTGGTGCTGGCCCCTACCCTGGGGGTCTTTAAGAAGAGGCTGGATGCCTACCTGGCTGGACTCGTTTGAGTCCCGTTTCTCTTTTTGGGGTTTTTTGTTGTTCTCCCGCCCTGGCGGGGGGTCGGGCTAGAAGATCTACTAGGTCCCTTCCGACCCTTAATCTATGAATCTATGAATCTATAAATCTGTGTTTCAGAATGGCTAGGGTTTTTTGTAGCATGACCCTTGTTTAAGTTTTGGAGAAAATCATGATGGATGCTGAAAAGCTACCTCTATTAGAAATAAGTGTTAAGTACTGCTCTGTTTCTAGTGTAAAAGTGGAGAATGTGAGGAACAGTAAGGTTATAGGTAACCTATTCTGGTTATAAATTCATAATTGTGAATTCTTACTTGCAGTGTCTGAACATTTTTTTCCTGATGACTAAATAGTGCTATAGAGCATACTCCCATGTCTCTCGGGGATTCTGTAGCTCAGGGGTTGTCTAGCTCAAGGGGGTACTTGAGAAAGCTCTAGAGGGTATATGCAGGCGGGTAGGGATGGAGCTCTGCCATGCAGAAGGCTGTGTTGCCACGCAGGCATCGCCCACCTGGCTAGACGTGGGAGGCGGGGGAAGCTGTCACTCTACATCTGGCCGCACACCCCCCTCTTCTCCTCCTGCTCTGCATCCAGCTGCCAGGGTACACTGACCCAAAAAGGGTGAAAACCCCTGCTCTAGCTCAGTGGTTCTCAACACTTTTTGTACCAGAACCCATTTGTAAACATCGATGGCCAGTCCCAACCTGCTGCCCCCAGCCCCAAAGTGTGTGGGGCAGGGTGTGAGTATATGGGGAGAGAGGGGGACCCAAGCAGCCCCTTGCAGGCTGGAACTTTACCAACCTGCAAGGGAAAAGCCATGATTTCCCATACTTTGTTTGCAACCCTTTCATATATTCTTGCAACTCACTCTTTTGGGTTGCGACCCACAGGTTAAGAAATGCTGCTCTAGCTCACTGCAGTTAGACTCTCCACAGAAATGCATTTCTTATCCCAACTTTTAAAACCAGTCAAACAACCACTGTATTTTTAAACATCTTTCAGGTGTAACATGTAATTTGTGATGGAAATTGCTACCTTTAGTAAAGGCTTTATCTCAAGTTAATTTTTACTTTTATTTTCAATAAGGAGTATTCCAAATGTAGTGCACATCTGCTTTGCTAATATTAAATTAAGTTTTTTTTAAACGGTGCTAGGAAATGTCATGGTCATAGGCAGCAGAAGGGGGACTAACAGGTCTCAGCCCTCCCCCCTCCCCAAACGCATGGCAGCAGATAGGGCTGTAAGATGGAGGGGGCACACTCAGGTACCCTGCATACTCACACCTGGATTGCAGCTGGCCAGCTGCAGGCAGGTAAGTTTCTTTTGATCTGTATCACTGCCTGGGCTTTGGGGGGTGGGGGCAGATTGAGACCCTCACAGTGCAGGAGAGAGTGGGGTAGGGGCAAGGCAAATCATTCACCCTTGCCCTGCTTCCTCCTGCACTGTGGGGATTGTCCCACAACCTGGCCTGACCAGGGCCCCACTCGCAGTGAATAGGGTCCTGGCTGGGCTGGGTCATGGGACAGTCGGAGCCCGGCAGCTCCTCGAGAGATGTGGTGCCAGGGAGCTGGGGAGGGGGGGGCATGTGCCCCCCTGAACTTTGCGTGGGGCATGGGTGGGCCACAGCTGCTAGCTGGGCTCTTTGCTCCTGGCCTCTGTTTGGCTGCTGTCACTGCTTTCAAAACAGCGGTGGGAGCGAGATATACAGGCAGGATACAGAGGGTGAACCCAACTGTGCCTGCCCTCGCCCTGTGCAAAGATTGGAGTGGGGGAGGGCATGGGCCCCACCACCCTGACTCCCCAGTGCCGCACTAACTCCGGACGGGTTGCCAGGTTCCGATTGTCCCATGACCTGGCCAGCTGGGTTGTGGCTCCCTATGGCTCCCTATGGAACTTACACTGCACGGGGGAACTAGGGAGTCTGGAGGAGCCGCTGGGTCGTTCCAGGCTCTTCCCGGGGACAACTCAGGGTAGGCGTGGGGGTGCTGGGGGTGGCCTGGCAGTGCAGCCAGGACTGGCCCTGTTCTGGCTCCTGGCTCCACATCTCCCCAGGCAGTGTGGGTCTGGGGTCGGTGCAGGACTGGGAGGTGGCAGCTCACAAGGCTCTCTGGTGCAAGGGAACGGGTGGGGGAAAGGGTGTCTGCATGGGCGCAGAAGGCCCTGGCCTCAATCCTGGCTCTGCTCCACTCCCTCCTAATTCCTGCCCAGTCCCAGCCCCACTTTCCCATGGGAGGGGCGCATCAAGAAAAGAAGTTAAAGAGTAAAAGGAAAGAAAAGTGTTGTTAGGGTCTGCATTTGTATGTTTCTGGAAGACAAGGTTGTGTGATGATTCCAAAGAAAATATTTGTTCTAGTTCAGACACCGTCCAAAGTCATAGAATTAAGATAAATTACTTTATTAGCTGTACCGCATTGCTTTTGCTGCTGCCTGTAAATGGGACCCATGCTACGTCAAACAACCTCCTAACAGTTAGGCATGTCATGGGAAATTATTTCATATGGGCATCCTAATCCAAGGAGTACAACTTTGTAGATGGCAAAAGGGCATCCCATTTACGGAAGGAAGCAAGTCAGATTGAAGCATGAGAAGCGAAATGTTTTCACAATGATCCCTAGTGACATGTAATATGAAGGAATAGAGACATTTTCTCAGGGCTGTGTTTTGTTTTTGTTTTGGGGTTTGGTTTTGTTTTTTCAGCATCTTTCTTTTCTCTCTCTCTTTTTTTCCACAGTGGATGGAACTGAGATTTAACACTCTGGCAAAATGCCCGCACTGCAAAAAAATGTAAGTTGCCTAAAAATGCTAATATTGTTGAGAGGTTCTTTGGAAACCAATTTAAAACTGCTAAACATATATCAGATGTTATTGGTTAAAAACAGTCTGTTTACAGAGATTTTTCTCTATGGATCTGAGAATACACAGGCATGGATCTGAGAATTGTCTTCCTTTAATTCTTGAAAAGTAGCTGTAATATATAGATTTGATTTGTAAATGATTTGATTGTTAGTGTCAGGGTAGGAAATATTCTGCTAATAACAGGAATAAATAGATTACTAAAACCTAGCAGCAATTCAGATTCTTTTTAATAAGATGTCCTTAGAATGTTATCATTTCATTCAGTTAATCAGGGTGTCATGTTTAAAAATTTAGCTTGCCTTCACTTTGGGACAGTGGACACAAGAAATAAAAGCTATCCTCTGTTTAATCATTTGTAATGCGCTTTAAGCTTCCTTCATGTCCCCAAAAAAACTAATTCAGGTTTAGTATCTTCTTTGCTCACTGTATGCAATTAACTGGAGACTAAATTCTAACCTGGTAAGGAGTGGGAGACTGTGCCAAGAAGGAGAGTGAAAGTAATAAAATGTATATTAACAACAACAACAAAAAATAGAAAGCAGGCTTAAATTTTGCAATTGTTAAATGGGGATAGTAATATTTTGAAACATTTGAAGTTAAAATGTATGCTCCCAACAGTGCCTAGAATGTGTACAAAACAAGATGATCACAAGTATAGGGCATAAAACAGATGAAATCAAGTTGCTTTGGAAACTTGATTCCTGTCTTATGTGGAGGTTCCTCTCTTTCCTTGATTTGTTTTATGCTGGCCCTGATCATGGGAACAACACCTTTTGCATTGAAAGGGAAGAGCCACTGACCCAGGTGTGTATCACATAAAAACTTAGAAAGGACAGAGTCAGATAGATAAGTATCTATGTGAGTGGTCTGGTTTTCAAAAGTGATTTTACTTTTCACCTATCACTGAAGTTATTGAGGAAGAATTGCCAGTTTGGGAGGATGCTTTTGGAAATCTTGAGTTCGGGGAGCATGATGAAAAAATGAATGATTGTGCATGGGTTAGCAGACACTACTCGGTTTAGGCCAAATAAACTGTAGAGCCTGTATCAGTTCTTGTACTCAAGAAACAAAGTCCTGTCTGTGTTAGCAGTAAGTATATCCAGCATTTCTCTTCAGGTCTAAGTATTAACATTAATCACATTTAGCTTTTAAAATATAGCATACTGTATTCCACTGTAGATCTTGAAGACCTCCTTTTTTCCTGACATTGTCCTTAAAACACAGGATATCTAAATATTTATTTTAAACGGGCACATTTTTTTTTAGTTCAAGTTAACAAAACAGGGCAGGGGGAAGGGGTGGAACCTCAGCTTTTTGTTGCAACCCTCCTTCCTCTTCTGTTCTCTGTTTTGTCCTCCTTTTCCCATGTCAGGCTATTCAAATGATATCTAATTAGAGCAAGGACCTGCTACTTTCCTTGTTCTTGTTTCTTTTCCTTGTCCTGTCCACCTTGACTTGTTAACAACAGTGTTTCTCCATTCGTGCGGTTGTGGACACACAATTTTTTATGTAGCCTAGCTTTGTATCCTCTAGCTGGCATGTTGTTTACTCAACTTTTTAGGAAGGTGAATATTGTGTTTGGGCAAGAAAGAATCATTCTTTGTTCAGAATTATTCTTCCGAGTAACATTAGGACACATAAATACACGTGTAAATATATTTGCAAATGGTTTCTTTTTAGGTTCTGTATAACTCTACAAATGATTTGCACATGCATCTGGGGTCTAGAATGTGGCTAGTAAAATCTTAGGGGTTTTTGAAGTGTGTACATAATAACAGAACTAAAGGTGAGGCCTAGAGAAACAGAGGAAAAACAAAATGGCCATGTCCAGATGAGTAGAGGCATGTGGTTTGTGGCACCACAAACTGCATGGGTATGTTAAAATGTGCCCTGCACCGGAAATCTAGAGTTGGGGGGTGAAATTTGCTACCAAAAAAGCTCTGGGGAAAAAAGTGGAGCACTCTACCGTAGCATGTATTGGGAGAAATGGAGGCTTGGTCCTCCAGTGAGACGCTCTGTCCTGCAACAAGAGTGTCTCTATGTTCCATTTGTGCCCCAGCACGCAGAGAGCTGGGAGGAGCTCAGCAAGAGCAGCTGGCTCACAGCAGGGCAATTTGTCCTGCAACGAAGTGCACATGCAGGGGAGTGTGCTGAGGCACAAAGTAGCAGCACAAGTTTGTGCTGCTGCAAGTGCATGCCCTTGCTCATCTGGAGACAGCCAATTTGTGCAAAGCTAGAATCACACCAGATGCTTTTGGAACACAAATGTAATGAATCAGTGACTTTCAAAAACAACATTTTAAATCTAGGAACATACTTAATTCATGGTTTTGCAGATTACGTGGAAACTGAAATCTGGGATTGTCCATAAAATCTGCAAAATCAAAACAACAACAAAAAACTTAATTAAAATAACATGCCAACTCCCTACTGTAAGCCAGTAGTCCTCGCTGCTGGGAGGGGAAGGCACTGACTGGTGAGGGGGCATGAAGCTCAGCAGACAAGATGATGGCTGCCCCCTTCTCCCTCCTTCCCTGCCAGAGACTCTCAGCCAGTCAGTGCTGAGGGGCAGGGTGGCCCAAAGGGCATCCAGCAATCAAGATGGCGGCCACCCCCCATCCCATTTGCCTTCTCCCCCATGGGGCCTTTCTGCCAAGCAGCGCCGAGGAGCAGGACCACTGCGAAATGCCTGAGAAATCAGCTCTACATGCTGTGAGCAGGCTGCAAAAAACCCTTTTCTTGTTGTGATTTTAAGTAGGTCCTTGTTTTACATCTGGGTATGGTCTCTGTTTATGTCTGGGTAACTACTGTGTCACCCCTTTAGTTGCTGTCACAAGTTTTAACATTAGGATTTTTTGAGTAGTTGAGTTATTCCTTTATATAGACTGTCTGCAAGGTAACTTCTGAAGTGAATGAGACCACTCATAATATAGATGCAGAGAGCAAAATCATTAGCTTGTAAGAAATAACGTAGATTAACAGCTCAATTTTGAAAGTAATCAATTTGATGCATAGTGCTACTTGTGTCAGTTTATCTGTTGAAAATGGCTTAACAAAGGAGCTGTAATAAAAGCTTCAAATGTGTAGTGGCTCTTGCTTATGTAAATGGTTGAGGTCCAACATATGTAAGAGATCCAATGGGACCTATAAATATAACTGAGAGTAGGGACTCTGTTCCAATGATTTTCTAGTGTCAACTATAGCCTTGGTGAGGGAAGGACTGTGCCTTTTTGTATGTTGTTAGTACGGTAGGTAGGAATGGGACAGATACAGAGGGGATGCAGTGCACCCCTCCCCTCCCCACTTCATTTGAGGCCACAGGAGCAGCAAATCGGGTAAGACTCTGTTTCTCACTTCCCCTCTGCTCAACAGCATGTCCCCAGGGTCCCCTTCTCTCCCCTTCCCCCCACTTCCTGCTGTGGCCCCTGTTGTTCCCACTGTCTCTGGCTGCCCTGGGTAGGGCAGGTGGGGGTAGCTGTGTTCCTACCCAGTTCCAGCTAGGCTGCTTGGGAGATTGGTCTCAGCTTGGGCCAGCAGTGGTGGCTGGTGGGTTCCTCTTTCCTGACCAAATCCCCCCAGCTCCCCTGGTGTTTCTTGCTGGCATGGGAGCAGGCTCAGGAGACTGAATCCACCTACCACTGCCTCTGTTCCTGGCTGAGCCTGGTTCCCTATGCAGGCCCAGCTAAAACAGGGGCAGGGTAGATAGGAGAGGAGGTGTTGCTGAGCATGGCGGAGGTGCTGGCGGGGAGCAGTGGAGGTTCTTACCTGTCAGACTAAAAATCCCCTGTTGCTTGTTTGGTGTGGCATACTCACCCCAGTGGGGTTGGGGTGCAGCCTCCCCCTGCAGTCACTGCTCTTTCACTCCCCTTTACAAAATCCTGGCTGTGCCTATAGATAGGATCTTTTAAATCTCCACTCCAAAAGCTGGGACAGGGGAGCATCAATATTTCCTCTGCTCATATACAGTACTCAGTTCTCATTAAAATTCCTGTGTCCTCCCCATCCTACCCCCCCCCCCCCC